TAGCCAGGATGGTCTCGATCTCCTGACCTCATGATCCGCCCGCCTCGGCCTCCCAAAGTGCTGGGATTACAGGCGTGAGCCACCGCGCCTGGCTACTTTTTTTTTTTATAGAGATAGAGTCTTGCTATGTTGCCTAGGCTGGTCTCAAACTCCTGGTCTCAAGTGATCCTCCTACCTTTGTCTCCCAAAACGCTGGGATTACAGGTGTGAGCCACCACATCTGGTCTATTATTTTTTAGATATAGCTGTTTTTTATTTTATTATTCCTGTTAAGATGTTAGGGACTGGTCTGAAGGGGAACACCAATGCCTCAAATTCAGTTTGTATTCTATGCAGGAATACTGATAGTGTATCTAGGCAACTGGCCTTAGATTTTCTTCTCAAGAGTCATAATACTTCAATCACAAGATATAGGTTACAGAATCATTTATATTCTGATTTTTAAAATGAGTAGTAAATTTTCTCAGCAAGTTATTTACCTGACCCAGTTGGTCCAAGCAGCAAAATATTACTTTTTTCAAGTTTTATGTCATCATGAGAAGAATCCAATACTTCACCTCCTCGTTTTTCCTGAGGTATTTGTTGATTTACCTGTTGCTGCATTGATGCTCCTAAAGCATTACCATGTGGGCTAATTCCAGCAATCTGAAGCAATTCTGAAAAAAATGCCAAAGGAATTACTTGAGATTCATTTGAATTTACTTGAAGAAAATGTCCCATAAAAACTTTTATCTAAAACTGAACATCTACATAGAAAAATTTAAGTATTTTGACATTCTGTCTTACCTACAAAGGAGAAAAATCTCAAATTACCTAATGACAAACATATAGCACACAATGATTATATAAAGAACCTCAAGCAAAGGAAATTGATTTTTTTCCCTGTCTTTATTTACATAAATATGCAAGAATACTCCTTTACCCAAGGGAAGGCAATGCAATGGAAGAGCAGAGCCAGGAGTTAGAAAGCTTTAGCTCTGGACCTTCGTTTGTCTCTAAGTAGAAGCCATATGATCAAGGGCAAGTCATATAAATTTTATGTTCCTGTTTCTTAATCAATAAAATCTACTAGAGAAACCAAATATGGTAGACCTCACTATCTCTGGCCCTATCTAAATCTCTAATTTTATTGGACCTGTACTGGATCTTTCTAGTTCCTTTATTAGAGACATAACTCTTAACTAGATGTGACTGACATTGCTAATGACTACATGGGACTGACACTGCTAGTGAAGTATCATTTGATCAGCCAGGTTCCTACAAAAATAAATCTTTAGGGTAGGCATGGTGGCTCAGCCTGTAATTCCAGCACTTTGGGAGGCAAGGCTGGTGGATCACCTGAGGTCAGGAGTTCAAGAACAGCCTGGCCAACACAGTGAAACCCCATCCCTACTAAAAATACAAAAATTAACCAGATGTACTGGTACACGCCTATAGTCCCAGCTACTTGGGAAGTCGAGGCAGGAGAATAGCTTGAACCCGGGAGGCGGGGGTTGCAGTGAGCCAAGATCACGCCATTGCACTCCAGCCTGGGCAACAGAGTAAGACGCTATCTCAAAAAAATAAAATAAAAATAAAACAAAACAAAACAAAATAAATAAATCTTTATTCTTACTTTCTCTTGGCTAAAGGAAAGATTATCCAGATTTGTAAATATTCAGACTGTTCTTGGTTCTTAGCATTTGGGTACCTGTCATCATAACATACTTGTTTATATTTTCTGAATTTATTTTTACATTTTTTTTTTTTTTTTGAGACAGAGTCTCTCTCTGTTGTCCAGGCTGGAGTGCAGTGGCGCAATCTCAGCTCACTGCAACCTCCACCTCCTTGGTTCAAGTGATTCTCCTGCCTCAGCCTCCTGAGTAGTTGGGATTACAGGCACATGCCACCACACCTGGCTAATTTTTATATTATTAGTAGGGATGGGGTTTTGCCATGTTGCCCAGGCTGATCTCGAACTGCTGACTTCAGGTGATCCACCTGCCTCGGCCTCTCCAAGTGCTGAGATTACAAGCGTGAGTCACCGTACCTGGCCTAAATTTTATTTTCTAAGAAATTGATTAAGAAAATCAAGACTTTCCAATGCATTATTATTTTAATTAAACTGACAGAATAATAGTTCAGTAGACATATCTATTATCATGGTCCTATTCCATCTGGCTGTCACTTTCAAACTATCTTCACACTTAAGGTAAAGCATTATTCTATTCATCAAAAACAATAAGCATTCCATAAACATCTGGATTAAACTGTGCTACCTTTCAGGGTTAATAATTAGGGAATAATTCACAATGTTGTGCCTCATTATAATCCACATCAGTCAAGAAAACCCAGTCTGCTGTATGGGGTTAGTTAAATTGTCACTAGCAAAGTACTTTTAAAAATTTCAGCAAAATCTGGTTAGCAATTATGATAACATAGGAAGGAGCTTGGGTTAAGTTTAGCTCTGCCCAAAGGGGAAAAATGATTTAGATGTCGCTTCGGATAAGCGAGGCCAGCAGGTGCTTGTCATTCACTCATTCTCTATCTCCCTCCCTCTCTCTCTCTCTCACACACACACACACACACACGATTTAGACGAATAACTGAACAAAATTGCAAGAGGCATATTAATTACAGTGGAACCACGTAATCTATGTATTTAATGATTTAAGTTAAAAAAATAATAATTTAAATGATGTCTATCATCCCATTTTATGAGTATATGCCTTAGTAAACTTGAGATAACTCTCCGATTCTTTCAGTTAGTCCCTGTTTGTGCATCTCTCACTTTGTAAGCATAGCTCTCTAAAATGAGGACCATGAGCAAGCAGGCTAGTGTAGTACTTAGCTGCACAGAGCTCACCAGCTGTGTGGTCATGGATAAATTACTTAAAATTTATGTGTTTCAGTTTTCTTATTTCAAAAATGGAGATAAAAATAATAGTTTCTGTCTCATGGGTTTAGGGGAGATTAAATGAATATATGCAAAACACTTAAGAACAATACCTGGCAGATAGTTTTATAAGTGTTACAGAAGAATCTGCTATTATTATTACCATTTCCCTAGTGTTTAATTATTCACACAACATAGCCCTTAAACGCAAACAAAGTATTTCATCTGGTGCTCAACTTAAACAACATTATATTCCAAAGATGGAGGAAAAAAGCCAATTGTGTCAGTCCTCCTAAAAGCTGTATGTTGGTCTCTAAAATTTTACTTCCAAAGGGACTTACAAGAATTAATCTTATTGTACATGATTTTGGTCTAAAACCCTAGATCAGTGTTAGGGTCTAACACCCCCAGCCGTTGTTAGTTAACAACCTAACTTTAGAACTTAAAATCCTACATAAAACACAACAAAACTGCACATGACAATAAATGTAAGCTTTTGAAGTATTTGTTTCTAAGTCAGTCAATCTTTTACATAAGTTCTTAAATACTGTTACTTGTTAACATTTAAATAACATTAAATCACTATATATATTACATGACATGTCTTTCAAAATATGGACTACAGACTTTCTTTACTAATTTAGTATAGTTTCACTAGCCATCAACACAATTTATGAGTATGGTATTGACTGCATATCAGAATATATTTTTTCATTATGAAATATAAATTACATATATACCTAAAGGTTATTATTTAGATCTTACATTCTTATATATAATCTAATTCTATTGCACTTACTGTATTTCTTAATTTTACCATGCATGGTATAATCAGTATTTCCACAAATTTAAAAGTAACTGGGGATAATGTAATGTTATTACATGTGATAAATGTCATGCCCAAGTTGGTACACAAGTTATATTCTCATGGCTCATCCTATATACAGTACACTTCAAATAGTGGATATATAATACCAGTTGGTTCAAAGGCAAATGTAAAAGTATCAAACTTAGCTAATTTTCTTTATTTCAATTACTAAAACAAAAGGCCATGTGACTCTTTCTATGACACCCCTGGAACCTCTACCCTCAATGCAGCCACTAACTACATCCACCTCCAAAGGAATAGGTGGAACACATCAGAAGGGCCAGTCTCCTTGGTCTATCAAGTCCTTCCACACCCTCCATCGGACCATCTGATGCTTTTAGGGGCAATCCAGGGCTAGAAACAGTGAATTAAGGCTTACTCATAATTTGTAAGACTGTAAGTTTCATAAATACCAAAAAAGAAACTGTGTGGTTTCTGGCAAAGAGTAGCTAGAAAATAATCTGCCTCCCCCAAATTCCTGTGACCCACAAGAAGCAGGCCAACTCTAATTGTAGTTTGATAGAAAAAATAAAAAATAACCAAACATATAGAAATTAAAATTAGCTATGAAAAACTATTCCAAAGTTATTTATACCATGTATGATAAACACATTTAGATAATATATATCTTTCTTGGTAATACACAAGCAAATACATACATGTCTATCACTGTTACTGCTAAAACACTTCACTGAAATAAATGTCAAAAGGAAGAATGATTACAGAGGAGGATCTGAAGTCACTTACTTGTAAATCTGTACTCATCCTCCCGTCTTCTTATTTCTAACTCTAAGAAAGAGGATTAAAATATTACATATTTGTTTACCTTGGGGGAACAAACAATGAGTATCCCACCTCCTGTCCTCTTTCAAATATATTTAAAGGATGTGTTCACTAACATTTTTCAGCTTTTCATATTAAGAATCTATAGGCTATATCTTTTCTATATTAAAACAAAACCATGCATAAAGATGGCTGTCCAGTTGCTAATATTCATATTTGTCAAATATATAATTGATATCTACTGTAAGGGTATAAGTCTTTAATAAGAGTTTAAGCCCCTCATGCTATACATATTATAACTATTTGCTCCTCCAGCACTTAGAATAGCTTAAATATTTATTTATTGACTGAAGAAAACAAAAAAGTTTTGCCACATAACTATCAGTGCTATTTGGACCTTATAAAAATGAAGATTTCAGGCCAGGCACAGGAGTCCAAGCCTATTAATCCCAGCACATTGGGAGGCTGAGGCAGGTGGATTGCTTGGGAGGTTAGGTGGGAGGGTCACTGGAGCCTGGGAAGTTGAGGCTGCAGTGAGTTGCAATCTAGCCTGGGTGACAGAGCGAGACCCTGTCTCGAAAAAAAAGAAAAAAGGTTCTGAGTCTTCCATTAGTTATGACTTATACTTTCTAAAAATAACTGATACCATTATACCATTACATAACTATTTTGCAGTTATGTGATGTAAGTTCAACAAGTGAACAAGTGTCTTCATTTAAATAAATTATACATTTAGTTGCTACTAAAGGTTATCAAAGATAATGTAGATTTATAAATTTAAGTACTTAGCAGAACTCCTTCACACTGTACAGTGATAATTAAAAGAATCTAAAATGATGGAATGTAGGCCTAAATCAGAAATCAGGGCTGTCTGGCCAACAAAACAGAAAATTAAATATTTATATTTACTCTATTCATAATTGTTTTAAATAAAATCATTCTATTAATATACATTATTGTCCATAGTAAATTGAGATTACACAGTATATTCTCAGTAAACTGTCCATAGTATATCTCATTATTGTCCATAGTAAATTGAGATTATACAGTACTGGTATATTAGAATCTACCCTTAATAGAAATTGTACTTTGAATCACTCACAGATTTGCCCTTAACCTTATACACTCTGTAGCTAGGGCCCAAAGAAAAACGAGTGCTGGATATATTAACAGTTATCATCTCCACATATCTCTGACACAGGCAAATGAAATTCTGTATCCTGAACCCAAGAGAACTGAGTTGTACAGAGCATTGCTAAGATCCATTCATGGGGAACTAGTTGTGGTGAAAATGATGCCTCAATCTCTACCCCAGTGGCTTTCAAACATTTTTTACTAAGACCCTCAATAAGCAGTATAATTTTCTTTGTGACTCAGAACCTATGCACATATAACTGAAAACGTAAGTTGTTTTTTTTTTCCTTTTTTTTTTTTGAGATGGAGTCTTGTTGCCCAGGCTGGAGTGCAGTGGCATGACCTCAGCTCACTACAACCTCTGCCTCCCAGGTTCAAGCAATTCTCCTGCCTCAGCCTCTCAAGTAGCTGGGACGACAGGCATATGCCACTCCACCCAGCTAATTTTTGTATTTTTAGTAGAGACGGGGTTTCACCATGCTGGCCAGGCAGGTCTCGAACTCCTGACCTCAAGTGATCCCCCCACCTCAGCCTCCAAACGTGTGGGATTACCAGCATAAGTCACCATGCCAGGCCTAAGAAATAATATTTACCTTAACTATAAGTTAAAGTATTCTGATATTTTCTATTCACATCTATCAGATTTTTTAAAAATGCTGTTGGCAACCTACCAAAATGATTTCATGACCCACTAATGGGGAGTAACCTGCACTTTGAAAAATGCTCCACTATATAAAAAACATTTTAAGAAGAAAGTGAGGAGTTACAAATAAAGATTACTTTTAAGCATAGCAATCTCTATTTAGGTCAATTATCAAAAACGCTACCTCTTGGTGTTAATGATGTCTGCTTCTCAACCTCTGCTTGCTGTCTCAGATTAGCTGGGATATTATTATATATTCTCTTATAATGATTGTACACAGCAACTGAAAGCACCTTCTTAGCAAATGACTGGCCAACAACATACTTGTCGAGGTAGTTATAAATCTGAAAAATGATTAGGTATGAATAATTTAATATGAGCTATTATAAGAGCACACACATTAAAAAGTTATATACTAAGCATACTTGCTTACAGTTTTAAATCTGACAAAGATTCTCATTAAAAACAAAATGACAATACATTATATAGCAATGATTCAGAGGCCCTAAACACTAAATGAACAAAAACACAATTCATTTGTTCCCTAGCTTAACAAAGTATCACTGTGTTATGCTAATTTCTATTCTATAAACAATGCTATCAATCTTTATTTTTTAATAAACAATTAAATTTAAAGTAACTTAGAATACATACACATGCCACCATGGGTCTAAAAGTATCAACATTAATGTAAATCATTAAAATAAATCTATACCTCTCAATCAAATGAATAATATTCTTCACAAAGATAACATATTATAAAACTACCTTTTTCAGAAACAGGCATTATATAATCAAAAGCCATTATACTATCAGTATCCATGTGTTTTAATACATTTAGTTTTTTCTCAGATATTAACTTTAAAGCTACTCATTTATCTAAATGAGACCCTAAAAACTGTATTCTTATTATTTTTTAAAATTTTCTAAAGATACATTTTTTTCTTTTTTTGAGACAGGGTCTCACTGTGTTGCCCAGGCTGGTCTTGAACTCCTGGGGTTCAAGCGATCCTCCTACCTTGGCTTCCCAAAGTGCTGGGATTACAGGCATGAGCCACCAGGCTCAACCCTAAAAACTTTACTCTTAATAGTAGCTAAAGCTCTGTTCTACAGTTGGTTATTGCCAACAGCTTGGAACCTGGGGTAAATTTTTTATTCACTAAAAAGTGAATAGAAATGAAATGGTTGGTGAATTAATATTCAACAACTCCTGCCGGGCATGGTGGCTCACGCCTGGAATCCCTGTACTTTGGGAGGCTGAGGTGGGTGGATCACTTGAGCCCAGGAGGTGCAGACCAGCCTGGACAACAAGGCGAAACCCTGTCTCTACAGAAATTAGCTGGGCATGGTGGCACACACCTGCACCTAGCTACTGTGGAGGCTGAAGTGGGAGGATCACTTGAGTCCAGGGAGGTTAAGGCTGCAGTGAACCATGAGTGTGCCATTGCACTTCAGCCTGGGCAAGAGAGTGAAACCCTGATTAAAAAATAAATAATTCAATATTTATATATTATTTATACTATTTTCAGCAGTATAACTCCTGAAAATAAACTGCCTGGAATTTTAACTCAGATGTCTGAAGTCTACACAAATTCGTATAGAATATATTTTCCATTTTTTTAATGACAAATTATTTAGTTGACGATATACATTTTTTTATAGTTTTAAACGTCTTTATTCCTTACAAATTATACCAATGACATTAAACCTGTCACAGCACATTTGGAAGTAGAGACAAATGCACTGCTATCTAAACACAGTAGAAGAAAGATACACTGAGGCAATGAGAAATACTCTAAGTGTGCAAACATCTGAGACACAGCCAGAACAGAAGGCACACAGCCAGGGTCAAGGGTTCCCAGTTCTCAAAAAGCACACACCAAGTACCCAATGGAGCTGGTGGTACATCCTGTTACGTTTCACAGGACCAAATCATACTCGGCCTGAGGCTTCTAAAAAGAGTCCACACTACCAAAGCCACAGTGCTATACAGAGCAGCCCTGGCACACTGGCTATGAAAAAACTACTTGCTTATATTATTAGACTCAAGGCTGTTTTACCATAAAATAGACCAATTTAAGGGAGATAATTATAGGGGTTTTTTTTTGTTTTTTTTTTTAAGGCTAGTCAAGTGGACCAGCCTAGGCTGGTGTTATTTAAGGGTCCAAACGAACAAAAATAAATCAAAAGTTGCTTGCTCTATGGTAAAGATATTATTTCAGATTAACTTGGTATTAACAAGTTAACATTTTAATAATTATCTAGCTACATTTCACTGCTACTAAATACAGTAATCATAACATGGGAAAAAGCAACGGACCCCATATTTAAATTCCAAAAGGCAATAACAATTTAGCCACATATGGTCCATATTATGAACCTGTAATACTTGTTCAGATACTAGTATTAGGATTCAATATAAACTTGGGAAAGGGAAGCAATGGAATGTTTTCAAGATAAAATACTTGTAAGACTGAGCTTAAGACTTATACCTTCTTAGGGGGAGGTGGTGGTTTCTGTTGGAATGCCAATTTTACAGCTTCTGCTGCTGATTCAGGTTCTTTAATTATGCTTTTCTTTGAGTCTGCTTCAGATAGCACAACAAAAAAATGATGACATTTTTCACACTTGACAAAACGGGTGGATGCTGTAAAAGAAAACAGAGGTAAGTAGAAGCAAATAAAAAATAATCCCAATAGTGTTTAGCCTTAAAGACTCCACTGTAAATGAAAGCTATGCCCCTGACAAAAAGTAGACTCACTATTCCATCTACTTGCCACACAAAAAGCCTCATTTATATATGAAGTATTCTACAAAGATAGATGAGTTCAGTCAACTACCTTTTGTTCATTTCTATTAGGTTCTTTCATTTTGTGATACACTTCATTAAAAGATTGGGTGAAATTTTTCCAACCTTCCATTCATTAAAAAAGATTTTTTTTCTTTTGGAGATGGAGTCTCGCTCTGTCGCCAGGCTGGAGTGCAGTGGTGCGATCTCAGCTCACTGCAACCTCTGCCTCCCGAGTTCAAGCGATTCTCCTGCCTCAGCCTCCCGAGTAGCTGAGATTATAGGGGTGCACCATCACCCCCAGCTAATTTTTTTATTTTTAGAAAGACAGGATTTCATCATATTGAGCAGGATAGTCTCGGTATCTTGACCTTGTTATCTGCCTGCCTCGGCCTCCCAAAGTGTTGGGATTACAGGCATGAGCCACCACGCCTGGCCCACTAAAAAAGATTTTTAAAGCTCTTTGAGAATATGGAGTAATCATCTATTTTATTGAAATACTTGAATGAACAAACTAAAAGCAAAATACAAGATTCATATATTTTCCCAACATTATAAAAAGTTTCAAACATACACAAAAGTTGAAAGAGAAATCTATTTTAACTCCTAAAAATGTAAAAAATGTATATTCTTTACATTCTTTTAAACCCATTAGCGTTTTTCGGGCATGGTGGCTCATGCCTGTAATCTCAGCACTTTGGGAGACTGAGGCAGGAGGATCACAAGGTCAGGAGTTCGAGACCAGCCTGGCCAACATGGCGAAACGCCGTCTCTACTAAAAATACAAAAATTAGCTGGGCGTGGTGGCAGACACCTGTAATCCCAGCTACTCAGGAGGCTGAGCCAGGAGAATCGCTTGAACCCGGGAGATGGAGGTTGTAGTGAGCTGAGATTGTGCCACTGCACTCCAGGCCTGGGAGATAGAGCAACACTCCATCTCAAAAAAAAAAAAAAA